AATGTGTGAACATATCATGATTTCCGTAAATAATCATCGTTATGCTTCTGTTTATATGGCTTTATTAAAAAATAATCCAAAATTAATTGATGATGATTTACGTGAACAAATGTCAACCAATGTTCATGCTGATGTTTGTCAATCATGTAAAGATGCAGTTCAATCATCAAAAGATTTTTGGGGCAATAATTTAGTAAGAATAATTCATGTTAATTTTCCTATATATATATAATTTATTTGTTGTGATTTTAGGACGCAGTTCGTAATGTATTACTTCGTACATGTGAATATTGTCCATCTAAAGATGAATGTCGTGATTATACTAATCAACGATTTGATAATATTAAATCGTATTTAAATAATATCGATCCAACACAATTTTGTCAAACTATGCATCTTTGTTCGACATCTGCTTCTACTCACCCACACCCCCATGAACCAAAATCAGTCCTTGTTAATTTATTACCAGAATATGAAAACGAAGAAATTAATGATTCTAATTCCACTTGCATTCTTTGTGAATATGCAATGAATATTCTTTCAAGTTATATTCATCAAAAATCAACTGAAGAAGAAATTGAACAAGATTTACAAAAAGTTTGTCAAGAAATGCCAGCAACACTTCGAAGCCAATGTCATGAATTAATTGATAACTATGGCCCATCAATAATTGCCGTACTTATTGGTCATTTTGATGCCTCAACAGTTTGTCAAAAACTTAATTTATGCACCAAACAAATGAAAGTTGAATTATCACATATAACAAAAGCAAATCAAGCAACATGTGGTGTTTGTGATTATGTTTCAACATATATGAATTTTGTATTAAAACGTGATTCAAGTGAAAAATCAGTTGAACATGCATTATCAACTGTTTGTTCACATTTATCAAATGAACAAAGTCCACAATGTGAAACATTAGTTGGATTATTTCGACCACATTTTCGAAAATTAGAACTTCAACGTGATAATAATTTCTGTAAACAATTAACTATTTGTCAAACACCAATGGAAGAATTAAAACCAGCTATTCAAGTTAATCTTCGTCCATTAGAACAACATTCACATGATGATAATGATTTAAAGGAAGCAATTATGAATAATTTAGATTTAACTCCAGAATGTACATTATGTCGTTATGTTGTTTCATATTTGGATGCAGTTATAAAGAATAATAAATCTCAAGAAGCAGTTGAAGCTGCATTAGCAAGAGTTTGCACCATTTTACCAAGTATGATGAATAATAAATTAGAAATTTTTTTTTTATATATTAATAATGTATTTTTTTTTGTTATTTTAAGAAAAAGATCATGTTAAATGTAGTGAAT